AGAGATGAACAAATGCGCAACAGACTTCCGTCGGAAGTAAAAACGCAAAGGATGAAAGGCGCCTCTCTTACCTGCGTGGGACTCTTGCAGCGAGAGTTGCGTGTCTTCTTTCGTTTCTCTTCCTTACCACTAGGGAAGATTAGCCTGTCCGCCGGCAGCTCGTGCTTTGGCGACTCGAAGCTGACGTCGAATCCTGAATCTGATGAGCTCGACATCTCGTCAAAGCCGCCCTCGCTGCAGTAGGAGTACTCTGATGACATTTTGAGCATCTGCCACTGAAACACCTTTTTCGTAATTTCTCATTAATCGAGCGCTCTCACAGGCTTTTCCGTTGTTCCACAACCATTTGTTAAGTTCTTAAACTACGGCCATACACATATATATATATATATATATATATATATATATATATATATCGGAAATATTAACAATAAATATTTTATTAATATGCTTTAATATTTGATATCCGGTAACACGGCTATCTAAACGATTGATCGCTATTTCACCGGAAACTCGTTACTACAGCCCTCGACCCTCTACCTCCTTATTACCACAATTTCAATTTACACGTTGAATAGTACATATAGATAGAATGTCAATGCAACTGTCAACTCGACACTATTATTCAACTCGAATTTATTAGAATCACAAGTTGAAAATGGAAAAGAAAACAAAACAATAAATAATAAGATGAATTAATGTACAATAAAAATACAACCGATAATCAATTAATGAAGTGCTCAATATTGGCTCGAAGTGCACTTGAATTCGTACTAGTTGAAATTTACTATCTAAAATAGAAAAATACAGCTGTCCGGAGTGAAAGAGGGTGCACAATAAAATAAAAGATTACTCGACTGATTGAAACGGGAGGAGAGATCGTCTCTCTCTCTCTCTCTCTCTCTCTCTCTCTCTCTCTATCTATCTATCTATCTATCTTAGTAGTGAGAGCCAAATTATCGCACGAAGAAACGAACAATCGCGCGGCTCTCACACGCTTTCGGCACCGAGCCACAACAAATTCAGATGAGGAAGTCGCCCTCGACGACTGACAAGACAGACAATACCTCCTAAGAGTCTGGATACAGGGGCGCGCAATTCCACTATCCTGATCCACTTCACAAGGCCCTCGGAGAGGATACGACCCCCGAGAACGAGCACCGGAGCAAAACGTTGATCCTTCCCGACAACGTTTTAACGACTGTGCGGGCGCCGGTGGCACGCGGCTAACATATATAGTCCTTGCAGGGTGGCGCGCAGACTACCCCCTCCAGAGCGCATCCCGCTAGCGTCGGAACCCGCCCCCGGGGCCCCCACTATCCCGTTGGCAGGGGCTCCGGACCCCCCCTGCCCCCCCCCCCACCCCCGCCACCCCCGCCGGCCCAACGCGACCCGCGCATGCGCCCTCAATTCGGAGCTTGCGCGACTCGACCAGGCCGCCCTTCCGATATCTCGGCCTCGTTGCCGAGGAGGCGCCTTCCTTGGAGGCGCTCAAAACTATCCATTTTCTATTGTCGAGTCACTACTCACATCTCGTTGGCAGTCCGCAGCGATATCATGGAGGGACAAATTCATCGCATTTTCAAGGAATATATATATATTCGAGCTTTTTATAGAAATTATCACGCGATCAACGCGCAATGCGTATTATATGACATACATGCGATAAATATGTGACCGAATGCTTTATTACCCATATTCTATAATTGCCAACTACGAGGCACATTTAGCTGCAAGTTGAGCGACGGCATAATCCCATGGAATGGGAATGTGCCATGTGTCATTTAAGTGCGAATCAACTGATAAAGATAGAATCCAGTGATATGGGAATCGACCGACAGGTAGAAAATCACCTTTCGACTGTCTTAATTTCTGTACTTATATCATTATACTTTAATCGATTGTTATCTGTAATTATGTCATTGTTTTGCTTCTTTTGCTCGATATTCAAAAGATCTATAAAAATCATTTATTAAATTTAGTTATAGACCAATGTGTAAAATTTTAAACAATCCACATAATGAAATACATTTTTAAAATAACAAACGATGTTGGGCTACTTTACGATTCTTGCTGTATGATTTTCACTTCAGTCGCGAAAAATGATGAAAAATGATGAAAAATTATATGATCCTCACGAGATCGATAACGATATATTTTGAATTGAATAACTTTTGAATTAAATAATACTGTTTGAAAATTGATTTGAAAATTGAATGTCAAACAATTCTTGTTTTGCGGTTATTTCGATAATATAATGCACGAAATATAGGAATATAGATGGTCGGTGCATGACAAATCGCGAGACAAATTACCATTAAAAAATAATAATTTATTTAAATATCAAACCTTCCGAGAAGATAGTTCGAGGAAATTGAAGCTCACATTTACAACGACACATTTATTTATCAATTTTTCTATGACGCCGATTGGGTCATTTCTTATCTGATATCTTCAAATATTTGCTCAACGCATGTAATTTTCTTAATATTCTCTTTATTTAATGGCTTTTTATTCTCACAGCGGCAAATTTGGAAGAAGATAAATTTATATATCAGTAGCCCTCGCATATAAATATGAAAAATAGCCGAGGCGAATTGTCCTGCTGCCACGCGCGCCTTGAGTGTTTGTACATTGATTCGCTGGTTGTTATCTATCGTACAAAGATATGTATTATTATCAGATATACAATCATTTTTCTACTTATCAGGATTCGATGAAAACATTTTAAAAAACTTTGTTTCTTCAAATAGGCATTTGTAATATTTCAGTAAAATATTTATATTTGTAATGAAGTAAGACACCTTATTCAGGTGACAATATTTTAAAGATTCAAAAGATCGTCGATGCAATTAAATTTATTGATTTTATTAATACATGTGTACGCTTGAAAAAAAAAGAAAAAAAAAACAATTAAAAAAAATAATTTTTCTTTTAAAGAAAGAGACAACATTGTAATATAAATAGCGTTTCTTTGAGTATACAAAATTTAGGAGAGGAGGGGGTAAAACTCAATCTAATACACAATATTCTATAATAATTATTATTAGCAAATTTTACTTGATTTAATATCAATATAAATATATTTTATCTAATTTTACTAGCCCGTGCGTATATACGCGTGTGTAATTAAATCAACGAATGATAAAGTTTAACGTATGAAATGAGAATTTTAGTAATAAAATAAAATAAAAGTCAAAAAATTTGAAACTACATAATAAAATGTGATAATAAAGTACGATGAGTAAAATATCGGCAGAATTATAATAACAACTATTTAACATATAATCATTGTCGTTTATTATTAAATTAATTTTATTATTCTGTTTGTACATTTTCAGCCAAAATTTTTGATGAATTTTATTACTTGCAATTACTTATGCTTGCTGAATCACCGGAATGTTGTATTGCGAGTAATGTAATATATAACATTTTATTTCTTTATCGATACTGAAAATAAAATTTTCATCCAAAATAAATTATTTAAAATTTCTTTAAAATGTAAATAATTATCAGTAGATTGTTTTACATATTTTTTATTCTGTTTCGTTGGAGTTTAAATTTTTGCAGCTGTATCATGCTATTTAAATGTCTAAATATCCACTATTTCGACAATTGATCGTATTGCATGAACAATTACATTATCAATATAAAAATTAATTTCATCATATTGATTCGGTTATAGTTGCTTTTATTGAATTTTCCATCTTGTAAAAACAAATGCAGTTTCTTATGGCACAAAGATTGGCCCATTAAACAAATCTAATTAATAAATTTTTAAAATTTTTTCTCATTTTTATGTATATGAAATACGAAGGGATGTTATTATCAATCGAAATTTTACCACTCGAGACTAGAAAGATCGATACATTATCACTGGATAAAAGATAAAAGCTTTCGAATTTTAAGAAAATATTCATTGACGTGAATTACGTTCTATCGGAATAAAATCTTAATTATTATACAACCCTGCACACCTAGACAATGAATTAAATCATATATTCTCATTATTTTCGATTATTTTTATTTATTATCTATTTGAATTAATAATTCGATAATTGTATATATCCACGACCTTCATATTATTACAGCATTTAATGAAAGTGCACTCGTGTACTCCTGGATTAATGTAGAATATTAATTCGATGTCATCGGAAATGGAAAGCAACCGATCAAACTTGTAACAAGTCAATGGCATTTCAGATTGATTTGATATTTGTCCTTTACGTTAGCGCACAAAACCTTTGTACCCGATCAAGCGTTTTATTTACGTGTATAAATTGCGATTACTTATACGAAAGGGTGTAAAAGGGCTTTGATTGGTCAGGAGACGTACATTCCGTGACCAATCGATGATTTAACTCGTCTGCGGGATTATTTATAAGCATAGTATATTTTTTATTCCCGTTCAATCGATTATATCAAATTCGATGCGTTAGGGTATTGAGGGAACCGGTGACATACTGAATTTTTTCCCTTTTGCATTAAGTAGTTGCATAAGTAGATTAATCGTTTATTAGCATAATACGCAAATGCAACGTATTTTATTTACTTTGATACGAATGCAGAGCTTAATAATTTTAATTTTTCGTGAAAATTATAAAAATTACGTAGTATATTGTGTACTAATGCAAGTATATATGTACTAATAAATAATCATACAAATTTGTTAAACATCTAATTAATCAGGTTGTAACTTAATTTTATATACACTATATTTATATTCAATTGTAGTTCGATCTTAATGTACAATTATTATGAACGGCAATTGTGCTTCGACACGAAGAATTTACATGCTTAAAGAAAATATCCATTTTATTTATTGACAGTACCTATGATAATAATTGGTAGTGATATGTTATGTTGATAGACTCGTCGTTACAATATTTACATGCAAATTAACTCGCACTTTTATAAATATTTTATTCGATCGTAAATTTTGAATGCCATAATCGTTACTTTCAATTTAGAAATTTCTACCTTTCGTTATGTTGAAAATGAGTATTATTCTCAATCGCGACTCGAACTGTTCACATTTAATTCGAAGGACATGGCAATAAATAATTTGTTGAAAAGCAACTAAAATCTCCCAAGAGGGTGTAACACCACATTGCAACTCTTTGCTATGCCCCTTTCCTTCTGCTATTGCGTGAAAAATTCGTTTGCCTGATAATACGCACCATGAAAAAGAAAAAAGGAAAGAAAAAGAGAAAAAAAAAAGTAATGGAGCCATTATAATAAAATTGCACATTTTCATCTGTAACCCTCGCTCGATTTTGAAAATTTTGTACATATGCGTATAAAGTGTGTATAGCAACAACAAAAGCTTAGCGTGAAATCGACTGCCGATGTCGTCATACCGCCGAAACGCTTACATGCTGAAAAATTATTGAAAATTATACGAAGGATTTGCTACCAATGCGTACGTAATTGAATACCAAATAAAAAGGGTACATTGTGAACATACACATGTAGCAAATTCGTTAAAAGGGGAAAATTTCACCTTTTTCGACACTTTACAAGCATTGCGGGAGACTTAGAGCATTGCTGTGGCGCTATTTGTGCAAAGCCATATATCTATCTTCTGTACTACTGGCCTTATGCCATTAATACTTTTCTAGTTTAATTCATTAGGACAATAATTTATCGCCGTTCCTCGTTGGCGGAGGGAACGCGAAGGGAAAATTATGGTAACATAGCTATAATGTTATTATAGCTCGAGGATTCCTTAAAAGCTAGGCATACTCTAACCTAGCGATACTCCAAGTCTAGTAAATATCCAAGTGAGCAAGAAAATACTCTCTTTTCTCTCTCTCTCTCTCTCTCTCTCTCTCTCTCTCTCTCACTCGATCATATTCCCAATCTTTCAGCGCTCGGTTTGATTTTCAAAATCCTCAAATTGTCCCGCAGCGAATAGGGGAACGCTATCGGTTACCGTTGATACAGCATCTACCAGGTATCCGGACCGAGCAGGTATACGATTCGCGAACCCCCTTCGTAGAAAGGGACAGCCGGCCAGTAGACACGCGGAACACGTCGGCCCAGGAACGGAGGAGGGTGCCCCGGGTTAAGAAATCCCGTGGACCTCCTCGACGCTGCAGAATAATTTCCAGAGCGACATGGCGACCTGGAGGACTGGTTGC